AACACACCTTCTCCTGAACAGCCTGCAGGACACAGTATTGACCTCTTGCTAATTCTGGATGGATGGATGGATGACGGTTGACTAGTGGGTAATAAATTAGTTGACGTTTATGGCTGTCCAGCAGTTATTTATATCTAAGCCATTCTGGATTGATGTCATTAATCTTTGGCCCGTTGGCCCATCACAAACCTTGGCCACATTTATAAAAGCATTTCAATCCAAACACCACTAGGTGGCAGTAAAAGCAACACTTGGTTGATGATCGACTTCACAGTTCACACGTTTAATTGAAGGCGTTCAAGGCAATTACAACAATGTGTATGTCGAAAAATGTTTTAGATCGTTTAAAAGACTGAATAAGTATAACACCACAGAGATTTGCGCGCTCCAAAAGTCTGGAATTCAAAATCGAATTTAAACCGTTTTAGAATTTTGAAACATTTAAAAACAAAGAAACAGTCCGTGACGTAAACTGGTAGCCTAAATCAAAATATACACTTCAGATTATGCTCTATTTCCAGGTCACTAATCAAATAAGGATTGATCATATGACTTTTTGTACAGATAATCAGATGTTCTTGCTGGAGAACATGATCATCAGGGTGTGTTCATGCAGCTCCAGTGCTGCAGCCATTAAGACATAAGAGAAAACCACATACTAAGACATTCTCATATTCATGTTATGCCATTTTGAGTACTGGGACTCTCATTATCCAGGTCCTCCTGGGTTACATAAGCCTCTTAATGCAGAGGAAGACTGGCTTTGACTAAGACAAGTGCCTCATTATTTTATGCGTACTATTTCATTATCATAATAATTGATGGCAGCAGCCCAAGTGACAGCAATCACAGGCCTCATAGAGTTGTATTAGTAATCATCACGTGTGTTCAGTTGGATTCAAACTGCTCTTTTTTAAGAAGTTGAAATAGATCATCTTATGAACTAAAATGTCGTTTTTTTTTTTTTACTTTCTGCAGGCTGTATTTTTAAGACTGTAGCCTACTGCTGATCTTCCAGAGGACATCTCTGCAGTGTCTGCCTCCATTGACTCTAATGAGACATCCTAAAAGTCTCATCTGTGATTAATTTGTTCTTTTAGGTGGACCAGAGACGCTTACCAAATATCAACGCAAATGTTCTTTTCTAATGTCTTCTTTTAAATAGGCGACATTTATGACATGTTGAAGATGAGTTTGTTTCTTCATGGGAACAGATTAGGACAAAATGTAGCATTACATCACTTGCTTGCCAATGGATGCTCTGCAGTGAATGGGTGCCGTCAGAATGAGAGTCCAAACAGCTGATAAAAACAAAACAATAATCCACAAGCAATCCACACCACTCCAGTCCATCAATTAACATCTTGTGAAGCGAAAAGCTGCATGTTTGTAATATACAAACTCATCATTAAGATGTTTTTCATTTCAAACCGTTGCTTTCAGCTAAAATATGAGTCCTCTATCTACAATATTGCTTTCTTCAGTGAAAAGGTCCTCTCATTTGAATCAGAAGAGAAATATGCATAGATCAAGCAGCTTTTACAACCCAAAACAGTCCAAAAATCTCGATTTCAATGTGAGAAGACAACAGAGGATGGACTTTTTTCAATGGAAGAAGCGTTATTATAAATTAAGGACGTGTATTTTGGCTAGAAGTAATGGTTTAAAGTTAAAACGTCTTAATGGATTTGTTTCTTACAAAAACTTCACAGGATGTTAACTGCTGGATTACTTGTGGATTATTGTGATGCTTTTATCAGCTGTTTGGACTCTCGTTCTGACGGCACCCATTCACTGCTGAGGATCCATTGGTGAGCAAGTGATGGAATGCTAAATGTCTCAAAATCTGTTCCAATGAAAAACATCATCTTGGATGATCTGAGGGCGAGCACATCTTCAGCAAAATTTCCCTTTGATTTGCGTTGCAAAAACGTTCCTGACATTCCTGCACTCTGAATTAAATGCAAATAAAATTAGCAATTAAAAATACAAGGACAGTCAGAAAGAATCATGTTTTCCGAGTCACATACTGTATGTATGAATAAAACAAAACTGGAGACAAAACACAATGGTAAGAAAATCTACAGCGTTTTATTAAACTGATAATTCATCTGTACAGAATTAGGGAAACCAACAAAAAGTCTGATTTGTCACATTGATCTTACATTGCAAAATGAAGAAACTCAGAAAATATCAGCCATAACGTTTCATATGTTTAGTCAATTTGCAGTTAATAGGAAACATGACAACCTGCCGTCCAGCAGATGTTGGAGCCGCTCACAGTTGGATGGGTCTTCCAGAGGAGCAGAGAAAGGCCATTTTAAACAAAGCTGGATCATCTTTGGCACTGCACTATGACTGTTGGGAAATTGTTTTGCTTTTGCTGTGGCTTTAAAAGATGCTATCCAAATGGGGCTCCTCAAAACAAAACAAAACACAAAGAAAAAAAAAATTTGTCTGAATCCTTTGGGGTAAAATGTGACTTGAACATGATTTCATGAGAATCACCCAATTACATTTTGTTAGTTGTGTCCAAAATAATGCATGGCCTTTAGAAAAACCTTACGTCTTCAGCAAAAGTTATGCATATAATCATCACAGTTATAGTCAGAGTAACTAAGTAACAAATCAAAAAGACAAGTATGTAATTCCTTTTCATACAGAAAAGGTCAGAGATGTCTGTGGGTACAGCTTTGAAAAAATACAGAGGCACCATCCAAGGGGACTAATAAATGTTTCTTTTCACTGGTATGACAGAGAAAGAGAAAAGGCAACATTAGAACATAGTTATGAAATAAGTTCTAAAACATATTTATTTCTATTCACTCACTCTCACACTCACACTCACACTCACACTCACA